TACAGGCTGGGCGGCAGCGGGCTGAAGGGGCCATTGACTGGGAGGTGTTGCTGGTGGCCTCAGCGGGGGGGGCGGGAATGTTGGAGGAGGACGAATTGCTCCCGGAGGATCCCCTGCTCCTCTGGTCTCGTAGACATGATAAGAGTCTGTGACGAGAGTGGGTAGTCGCGGGTTTGTGGGCAGTCGTGCGTCGAAGTGTAACAGGTTGGCAGCACCTGGAAGAAGCCGGGGTGGTCTGGCGTGATGCGATTGGTGGGAGTCCAGAGCAGGTTTGCCTTCCTGTAATCGGCTTTTCTGGAGGTGTTTCTGACAGGTCAGAGTTATTCTGAAGAGATATGAACGTACCGAATACCCAAGTAGGATCAAAAAGGGACCCGTGAGATGCTGGAGGAGTCGATGCCGTCGATGGGCGGAGCTGGGCAATTGCCTCTTCCTTTATCCCAAGTATCACATGAGGAGGCTTGGCGTACTATTGGTGGCTGGCTTGGCTGTCGGAGTTGGGTGTCATCCCTTGGATGCAAGTACTACTGAGGGAAGGTACCACGGCATCTGGTGCAGGGCGGTGTCAGTGAAAGTCCTTTCTAACAAAGGGGGATGCCAAGATGCACCAAGTTTTGGCCAAGATTAGGTGCGTCTTGGCAATGGTCTGGCGGCTTGCCTCTGGGGCCTGCCTCGGGACTCTGAAGGCGCCCGCCGAATTCTTGAAACTGCCCAACCTGCCCTTTGACACATGCAATTCGCCTTCTAGTCTCCATTCATCGAAGCAGCTCCGACTTCATTTCATTGAACATACGAGGGACAGTATTCAATGTTTGAATGCCGCTTGGGACTCGTCCAGTAGGTCGTTTAAAAAGCAACCTCCCATTCAGGACTGCACATGACAGCATTTCGCTTCGTGCTAGATGGCCGCGAAATGCGGCGGATCGTGTTGCTCTCCAAGTACGTTTGCATATTCCTCTACTCTGCTCTCTGTATTCCCTGGCTGTTGACTCGACAGCGATCTACTTGGTCCCGCAGGAAAATGATGCATTCGATGGCAGATTCGACAATGGCAGCCTTCGAGCATGTATAGTTATCTCCCGATGTTGTCGCCGTTATGTCGTCCATGTCGTCAACATGTCCATCCGGGCTGGCACGGCGCATCTCCGAAACCAGTGTAGCTAGCCGGTCGAGAGCGGTTCTCAGGCGTCGCCTACGCCCTTGCTCTGTTGCCTGGCGACTGTTACGCTGTGAATCAAGGGTTTCTGATACTGTGAGTCAAGATGCTCGTCTTTCTTCGAGTCCTCGCCTCTTCGTACTCCTTCTCTATCGCCTCCACTATCTCTGTCGACGTCCGAATGTGCAGACCCGCCAGCACAGATGCATCAGCCATGCGGCCTGCCCCTAATGGTACGACAGAATCAGTTGAACGAAGGCGAACTGAGGCTCATGGCGGTGAGCACGCCAGCCAGCGTGGCCACACACGGAAGCGTGAGGACCCAGCCAATGAAGATGAACCCGAGTTGCTTCCAGTTGGTGGCACCAAAGTCCAAGTTCATCAAGGAAACACCAACCACGGCACCGGTCAGTGTTTGGGTAGTGCTCACGGGCAACCCTAGCCGACTGGCGAGCAAGACCGTAATGGCCGCTCCAAGCTCCATGGCGTAGCCCCTGGTTGGGCTTAGTTGCGTGATTTTGTTGCCGAGCGCCTTGACAATGTGGTGACCCATGAACCAAAAACCTGCACCAAGGAGGAGACCGGCAATGGCAAGGATCCAGACGGGCGTAGGGTTCTCCTCCCCAACTTTGCCCGAGTTGTACGTCTCATAGACAGCCACCCAAGGGCCGACAGCGTTTGCAACGTCGTTGGAGCCGTGAGAGATAGACATCATGACTGCACTAGCAACTTGAGCGTATGTCCAAAGATGTTCTATGCGATTGTCGTAGCGCGGGGCCCTGCCATGGACGTTCTCGAGATGGAGGGAGTCGTGAATGACGCAGTCACGCGTGACGCCCTGAAGCAGAAAGTACAGGATAAGGCTCTTCATCCTGCGTGGGTGGTAGAAAGGGAGATGGGCCGTAGGAGCGAGGAAGCGTTCTTCGGGCTCCGGCTTGCGCGGCGCGCGGCGCACGGCGGGCTCTTCGGGCTGTCGCTCGATATCTCGCGTGACTTGGCCTTCTGTTTCGACGTCCTTAGGGCCTTGAGAGTTGGGGAGGTTCGTCTCTGCATCCGTAGCCGAGGCTTTCTGACTGCTGGCTGACGGCTGGGTTCCAGTGGCAGTCTCCTTGTTGTGGGCGCTCTCGTAGTGGTCGACGAGCATGGTCGTCTTTCCGGGGAAATACAGGGGCGGGTTCTCTCTCCACAATAGAGGTCCGAGAGGAAGATGCCAAGGACGCATACGATCGTCCTCGAGGACGACAACACGGTGGAAGTATGGCATGAAGAAGAGATAAGAGAGGGCGAGGACACCGAAGAAGGCCCCAAACACGATGCCGCAAGCCACGCCAACGCCAAGTTCTTCCAGACTTGGGGCGCCAGGTGCCTCAATGGTAATGAAGAGAGCGAGGATGGCGCCGGTAAAGGCAAGGTAGAACGGAATAGCCCTGAGTGCCTTTTTGAAGGCGTCTTTCCGCTCAAGTACGCAAAACTTAAGGGTCCCAAACAAGATCGCAGAGAAGGCGGCGGCAATCAATGGGGAGATGAGCCAAGAGGCGGCAATCTGGGAGACACTGCCTTTCTTCCACTCCCAAGTGACGGCGGACTGGGCGCCGATACCAGCGCCGACGAGGGCGCCGACGATAGTATGTGTAGTGGATACCGGGAAGCCGATCTTCGTTGCGACCAAGAGCCAGGTGGCAGAGGCGATCTCGGCACTACCCATAGCGACGAGAAGGGTAGCAGGGTTGTCCCGGAAGCGGTCTAAGCCAATGATGCCGTTTTTGATTGTGTTGGTGACGCGAGAGCCGAGCACAACGGCGCCGAGGAATTCTGCAATGACAGAGATGACACCGGCCTGGGCCATGGTGAGGGTTCGCGCGGCCACAGAGGTGGCGAACGCGTTGGCAACGTCGTTGGCGCCATTGCCGAAGGCGCTCAGGCAGAACGCGACGGTGGTGATGGCGAGAATCCACCAGTATTGCGGCAAAGCTGGCGACATGGTGGCTTTGTCGATCGAGTTATAGGGCACGATGGGTTCCGAACACAAAGAGTCAGATGATGATTTTGAAAGTCCAGTCATCAGATGTAGTCGAGAGTAGTCATAAGGATTTATATAGACATTTTACCCAGCAGCTGAGGATGAACTGGAATCCGTACTGATGTACGAGGTCGCACTAAAACCGGTCCAAACCTGGCTCTCGCTCCACGTAGCAGCCTGAGGGTTGTTGCGACGGGGCGAAGGGTGCTGGGTCCTGCAACATGTGGTTCTAGGCAAAGCTTTGCAATCGGCCACTGGAGAATCAGCAACCAGTCGTCCGTAGCACGTGGCTCAAAGAGCCCTTCAATTTGTGAAAGCTCGAATGAATATGGGCGCACGCCAAGAGGCGAAAGATGGCTCGCTACGGCGTTGTCCGCAGCCGAAGTAGAGATTGGTACAGAAGACTGATGGCCGTGTGGGGGCAACATGATTCCACCCACAGCCATGTGCATACCATGTGCAGTCTCACTCGCCCGCGGCACGACAAACTCAGCCGGCTAGGTATCAATTGAGTGGCAGGCGTTACGGAGACAAAATCGTGTGCGGGGTGGAACCGACATACGACCCTGATAATTTGGGGCGGAGGTTGGATTTAGGTAGAGTGACATACTCGAACGCTCTGATTGGCTCGGCGCAAAAACACAGCCTGCAAGACTTCTATCGAGGTGGCGGACCTGACGCCCCTTGCCGAGTGGGGTGCTGGCCAGTTCAGCTGCCAAGTTCGGCAGAAAAATCAAGTCGTCCTTGCTATGTTCGTTTGTCAAAGGGACAATCGGCCCCGTGACCTATTCGCGTGGAAAGTGTGCTTCTCATATTCCGTTGACCTTCTCAACCCATTCACAGAGATGCCCAAGATGTCCACGATGGCATCATCTAGAGCATCAAACACTCCGCAGCTGAGGAATGATCCGGTCCAGCTGGATGTATCCGCCAACGTCGAGAGCAATTCTCCATCCCCATCCAAGTCTCAAGGCCCGTACGCTTTGCGGCCCGGCGACTGTTTGAAAGGCAAAGTTCGTGTGACAGCAGTCTTTGCCTTGCAGGGCAGCTGCATTGAAATCTCTCTACAAGGTATGGGCAGTGCCATCGTCCTCTTCGCTATCCTAACAGAGCCATAGGATAGTGGCTGATTGGATCGTAGGTCTAGAGTCTGTTTTATCCTCCAGCGTCGGAGGACCGGTTGGGTACAACCATTCCTTGGAGACATTCAAGGCAGAGAGAGTTGAGTACACAACCAGGCCATTGGATGGCTCGGTCTATCTAGACTTTTGTCAGCCTACTAACCCGTCTCGCCAGTTTCTCCATGCCCCGTTCCATTCCAAGCTCGAACAAGAAAATATCATCGAGGATGGCCGAAAGGTATACGACGTCCCCTTCCTGCTCGTCATGCCAGCGGGTCTCGACCGGACGAGCGACCGCGCCGGACACAGTTGTAGACCACTGCCGCCGTCTTTCAGGAACACACGCACGTCTTTTAGCAGTTGGAACCCTGTCATACCTCCCAATGTCTTCATCACCTACGCCATGTGCATGTCGGTGACCTATTCTGTCGCCGGTGACGATGCATCGATGTCAACAAAAACCGCCGAGGCCACCAAGCTGCTGCACTTTCTTCCATACATTGAACTCCAACCCCCAATCGAGATTCAGTGCTTTCCCGACGAGTACATCCTCTCGGCAAGGCAGCCCGTCTGGAATTCCATCATCGGGCGCAAGCTTGGGCATATGACGATCACGACCCTGGAGCCCAGGCCTCTTATTTACCACACAGATTCCTTGTCTTCCACGGAGTGCGAGTTCCGCATCACCATAGAGGGCGGCAGGTCCGAATTACAGCGGTTCCAGGCAATGTCCCTCGAGCTACACCCAGTGCTCCAAATCCAGACAACTACTACAGCAGCGCCAGGCTTGTCGGCCCTCCGCCTAAGAGCCTGGTAACGGGGACGGGCCCTACTCGGCTTGACAACGATGTTGTCAACCTGGATAAACACTGCGCCTCTCATTTATTTTGGACGTCTGGCATCGGACGCGCAAATTCTCAGCAAGCTTCGGCACTTGAAACGATGTCTTCCACCGTTCGTGTTATCATCAAGCCGCCCTTCAGGCTGCTACCGAACTTTTGCAGCGACTTTGTCGCCTTGCAATATTCCATAGTCACTCGCGTTTGGGTCGGCAAAGTGTACGCGAGGCCTTTCTTTGTTGCAACGCCACTCCAAGTAGCACATCCATGTCCTGCCCGGCCGTCCCGGGGAGGAATGGATGCCGACTTGTTGGCGCCTTCACCAGAATCACCATGCGGTGAGGAAGTCTGTTGCTCAGCCTTTGCTGCAGATATTGAGATAGACCACGTGCGTTGCGCCACCTTCTTGGGCTGCGTCTAAATGCTAACTGATCGCCAGTCTCAGGCTCCACCACCATATGTCGATCGGCGACAAGCCAGCGCAAGATCAGGGTAGCACTTCTTTCCATCTGGGTGCTTGAAAGCGAAACTACGAATGAAGCTTTGAATATCGGCAGGCACTGTTGAACCTATTACATCGTATGTGGGTGATGTTACAAGACTCATGACCACCTCCTAAATCGGACAAAACCGGTAATAAGCCGTTTTTGAGTCAAGGTAAATCAAAGCAGACTCTCTAGGAGGCCTTACCGAGGGGTTACGATAGGACTGTGTTCGTCGTACGGAGGTATGCGGTTTCAAGAATTGCCCATCGGAAACATCATGCAAAGAAGCTACCACAAATTCAGCGCATTTCCGTGATGGTATGGAGCTAGTTGATGCCCGCCGCATACCTTAGCTATCCAGATAAGGGAGCCTATGCCACCAAAGACATGAAGAAGGTCAATTCCATGCGTTTTATGGATCCCAACCCCTTGAGTTTGATCCTGCCTGTAGATTGCTGATGTCTGACCAGCATCTTAAGCAGTCGTTGTGTGGCATGTTGGGCCCCTTAGAGTGGCAATCGATGCAAAAGCTGAGGATGCCTGGCGTGTAGGCTCGATGGGTCCAGTCTTATTGACATGGCGTCGTCCTGTCTGCTTCTTCTCAATCTTCATCCGATGAGCCGAGGTTGCTGGAAGCTTGACGAGAGAGCCAAGTATCGAAGAATGATGACTGGTGTCTAGAAATTGGTATGGGAACCTGCACGTACGGCAAATTGGCCATCAGCACTTTATCACAAAACGCAGCTACGAGCTCTGCCACTGAATGATCGAGATCTGAAGACTCGGGACGTATTCCTTAGGTCGTCTAAGGAGCGTTACATCCATTCCGTCGCATAACTACACTAAAGACCCTGCCCTTCGCCACACGCTGAAGGCCGCTAGATATGGTCGATTAGGTTGCGTCCCAGCCATAGCCGCTAATATCCCTCTCTCCTCAGCTCTCCGTACTCTCTGACCGTTGCTCTCTGAAGCGATGTACTTCGTCCTGCAAGCATAGGATTCGTTCGATTGCAGCCTCAACAATGGCAGCCTTGGAGCTTGTACTGTTGTCTCCCGACGCTGTTGCGGTTGTCACGTCGTTCAAATTGTCAACATTTCTCTCTAGGCTGGAACAGCATTCCTGCGAGATCAGAGCTGCTAGCCGGTCGAGAGCGAGCCTCAGACGGCGCCTGCGGCCTTGCTCCGCTGCCTGGCGACTGTTACGCTGTGAAGCAAGAGTCTCCGATACTTTAAGTCGGAGTGCTCGTCAGTGCCGATCCCTCTACTGATCGAGAGGCGGCCGTACCTGTTTGTTCCAGTGTAGTGTGTAAGGCTGCATTTGAAGGTTTTGGCTCTATGGGCCGTGTTGCGATCATCCGCTCCGACCGTTGCAAGCCAGACTTCCTCTGTAATGATTGTCGCCCAGGCACTTTGTTCTTTTTTGAAACCCGAATACCGCGTATGATTTGGTCGTAATTCTTCTGAGTAGACCTTTCGGGACGTTTACGACTTGCCTTTGGGAGAAATACGGGTGCTGATCGATGGTCGGGGGAAGGCGTGGACGATTCAAATGCCTCTGAGTTGATCATTTCCGAAATAGAAAGGCATGCTTTCGGTATGTTGGTGTTACCGACTCCCTTGCGAATTGCGGCACTGGACGACATTGTCTTCGAAATGGGTTTGCGTTGGGTTGACGAATTATTGACACTTTGTGACAAGAATTCTTTGGGTGAAGGCAACGACCGATCTGAATGCGAGATGCTTGCTTAAATAAGGGGACCTATAGATCAGAAGTTCGTGATTGGATGCTTGCCAGGTTTTGTGACATCCTGTGGCTGTGTGTCATGAGCGAATGATTGTTCGGTAGTGACATGCAAGCCTTCCGAGGGATTTAGTGACTAATCAAACTGCAAGACGTGGCTGGGCTGGATACCTGATCCACGCCAGCTTGGCAATCCGACCCGCATGACGTGACGTACCGGGACTTCATCTCTTTCGAGCAGGACTTTGGCCTCAGTACTTATTAGGATCGACACAAAAAAGGCAGAATAATGCAGCAGCCAATTGGAAACACCGCCACAGACCCACAGTACATACAAATTAGCTGTGGTACCGATCCCAACAATGCTGGGTATTCCAGAGAGGCACATCGCTAGTCTCGCACACAAATCGCGTTTTTGGAGCCCATGAATTGCCTGAAATCGCTCCCAACGCCTATCTTTTGGGCGAGCTGATAGCACGTCCGGAACAGGCATAGCAGCGCAGTTGTGGGCACTTGCCTACGCGTTTGTGCTCCCTCAGAGGCACTCTGGTGGACGCCCCATTCGTTTTCGACTTCTGCCGGCCTCCTTGTGCTTATCGAATATCGAGGAATAAAGCAGCCGAATCCATTCACTTTCAGAAGAGGCCCTTTATAGAAAATACGGCCCGGAAGCTCTCTCTGCAGAAGGAAAGTATTCGCCATAACCGCTCCTAACAGGAAGCCGTATATTAAGGCCGGCCAGCCTCCTCGGCGCGCGCGGCGTTCCTACTCGTTGTTCGCGCGTAGTTGGTCATGTTTAATAACCCCTCCCTTTTGAACGTTATATTGGGCTGTAAATTGAGGGTGCGGCAGGTCCTTCCGGTATTTAAATGCTCATGTGATCGTTTGAAAGGGCTCTCTTGCTATCTTTGCGCAGGTGGCAGACTTTTGGGGCAATCGTCGTTCCATAGGCGGTTCAGGCTCTCGACCGCTATAGAGGGTATTCTGGAAAGCTGTAAAAGCAAGGTCCTTCCATAGAAACTGCTGTATCTGACCGTCAGCGATAGTTACTGTAGGTAGCATACCCTGGGGCACCTTGTCCCCCTTATTGGCAGCGCGTTTATCAGGGAGCTGTTGGACAAGGCCTGCGTTAGGGTGGCAGGTGCCCGTGGCGGCGAAGCCCTCTGAGCGCAGTTGTTATAGGAGGGCAAGGCTTGTGAAGAGGTTATCGATAATACCGTGGTATCGGGGGCCCTGTGGGCTGCGAGGCAGTCGCCGCAGGACGTCCGGCACAACCCGTTGGGTCTTGTTCAAGCCTCTCGTCGTGATATCGCGAGACCTGCCTACGAACCCTACCATTCCCTCGTCAATTATAACAGTCCAGGGGGAATACCTAATAGGTACGAGACGTATCCTATACATCGTTAACCAGGAGGCCAGGCGGTCAAAGGTAGCAGAATCTGCGCGCGTATCGAGGTCCTCGGGGTCCCAATGTTACGACCTGGCAGCTTCCGAAGGGGGAACACTGTCAGAGGGTTGGGGTTGCTGTTTGCAGAAGCTTAGGTTGTGACTCTGAGACGATGTGGTGTCGTAAGGCGTTGCGCACTCGTTACAATGAATACAAGGTAAGACTTAGATTGATCACTGTCGTGAGAAAGAATGTATCTACAAGTCCAGAATGTCCGTCCTTATATACCTGCCATCCTGTCCTTGTTGTGTTAGGTGGTGAGCTCATGTTGGATGGCTCACTGGTTAGTTGTTGGTGATCCATGATGTTAGGATCACGGTGTGTTATCCCGTGAGCCATTCCCTGGCTCACTGCGGCGTCCTTGGTGAGCCCGACGACTCACCCTTTATGTCTGAGTGAGCCATCACGTGATTTGCCAGGTGGGCCCGATTCTTATCTTATCGCGCTCCCTGATCGCGGGGTCGTCGATTCGCGGCCGCCCTGCTTCCTTGGTTGTTACACCCAAATGCGCAAGCGGCGATATAGGGCCTGGAAGCGCTCCCACGATATCCACTGCGTGAAGCAGTGCCTCGAAGTGTATTCGGAGGTGGACCAATAGTCTCGGAGGCGTGGCTCGACCGTCACTCTCATGAAGGAGGATACCTAAGAACAGGTATAATTCCGCTACTGTTGTTGGGTACCAGTCGTTTGCAGTTGTGCGTTGCCAGCAGGCGTTTCGTTGACGAATTCAACCCACTGCGCTATTAAGGCAGGAGGCACAAATGCTTCGAAGAGCTCTAAAGGCATCGGCGGCAGGCCCTTCGGGAAGTGACGCCAGAAGTTCGGAACAGCAAGGGGCTCGAAATCTGTAGCTGTAGGAGTACCGGTGAGGCTTCAGGGCGCCTTGTACCCATATCCGAGCTCAGCGGTACTTGACTCCATTGTGAGGCTCAAAAACGGTCGATATCGTGATATTCTGGCGGTTTGGCGGTGGTTCCGTTGCGTGGATATCGCTGACGTAGGTGCAGTCTGCTACTTGTGGTGAGGTATTTCAGGCGGGAGGCTACATACCTCGGGAAAATCTAGACTAACCCTATTAGGAAAGCGGTCTGGCCAGAAAGTAATGAGGCTAAAGTTCTGCTCTTAAGGGATGAACCTCCAGTGTGAAGTGACGGTCAATCGAGAATCCAGTTGATAGTGCCAACGAGCTACATTATACCTAGTGGTGGTAAAGATTACAGTCCCGGAACTGAGAAGACGATACTGCTGACGCCAGTCAGCACCAGGATAGAATGTCAAAGGAAGCGGCCATGACAAAAGAACGGCGTGACCCGTCGCGGCTTGACATGCGCTGCGGCGTTCGCCTGGACTGACTACAACGTCCAGAACAAGAAGTTGGCGCACGTGACGTACGAGCTTCAAGAGACGAGGACACGTATTTCGACGGGCAGGTAGTGCGACCCGTACAGCCTCTACGTGCAGTTGTCGCGGAGTCGGTCTCTAGGAGGCATCATACTCCTGTCCAAGGTCCGTGAGAGAGATTTCGTCGATAATCGGATGCCTCCTGGCGGCACAGGATTGGCTAGAGAAGCTGAGCGATCGCACTTTACCACTTCCGAAGAAAAAGGGGTCAAAGTGGAGCAGCTGCTGTAATTAGCCCAAGAACAATCCAAATGGGACAAGCGCCTTTTGGTGCGAGTCGTTCGGTTCAGTTCATTGTCACTGCCTCACTCTGATAGGTCCGCAAGACCCAGCACGACAAGTAGGCCAATGACTGGTCGTCCCCACGTGCCCTGCGGGGAGAGCAACGATTGGTGGAGTCGCCCCATTTGGAGGTATTGACGCAGATGAGCGAGTGGGTCAGTCAAGCGAGCGGACATCGGGATCGGTTTAAATGTTCGTGGCAACCTTCGAGCATTCTCACAAAAGTCCCAATTCTGCTGCCAACGACAAGAGCATCAACATATTCCTTCACTATCACCAAGATGGCCATTCGACGTTGGAGCGGCTGGCAGCCTGTGAACCTCGGGGGCAAATTGTGGAACGCCATCAGCACTAATTATCATCTAGGGTTTACCTCATTTGGTGGTCCACCAGTGCATTTCAAGATTGTGAGTTGCGGCTCCTTCACTGAATTGTGTTCCATCGCAACGTATACTCCGTCTTTGAACAGAACGCCTGCTGACGAACTCATTAACTGTCTTTAGTTCCATGACAAATTCGTCCAGAAGCTGCAATGGATCGATGCGCAAGTAGTAAGTACAAGGTTAAACTGGGATGATTGCGGAAACGTAGCAACGCTGATTTAGTCTGTAGTACCAAGAGTTATTTAGTGTATGCCAGGCATTCTCCGGTCCTGGTAGCACCAAAATGCATTACTGTATCAACCTCATCCACGACGGTTTCCTCCCTGCCTTACTAGGCTTTTTCATCTGGAGGTACGGCAACTAGTTATACCCATGTGGGGAAAAAGGAAGAAAAAAGGGCTAACTTGCGTCTCAGTTTACCCGGCGCCCTCGGAATGTACGGCCTCTCTATCGGCGTCTCTAACATTGGAGACTCCCTCCCAGGACCCGTGTATGCGCTCCTCTCCGGCCTCAACGCTTCGACCGTCGGCATCATCGCAGTCGCCGCCGTCCAACTATCAGAGAAAGCCATCACCGATAGGATGACCCACATACTCGTCTTCCTCGGAGGCGCGGCCGGCATTTTATACAACGCACTGTGGTACTTTCCCTTTTTGATGTTCCTGGCGGGCATCGCAACCGTCGTCCATGACTATCGCTGGCTTCACGGCCCAATGAAGGCCGCCTTGGCGGTTGTGAAGAACCCCAGGAGGCGACGCCCGGCAGAAGTAACGGAATCCGTCGAGCTTTGGCAGGCGCAGTCTGGCAACGAGGAGAACACTGTTACCAACACTGCTACTCATCCCGGTGCTACTCGGAATGAGGCAGAGACGCGCGCAAGCCGAGGTAACGATACCGAAACTCTTCCGATTTCTGAGAACGAGCGTCGAGAGGCCGAGCCGGAACCCCGCGTCGTCCCACCAGAACGCACCCTCAATTCCTCCTGGACCTTCGGCCTCGGCATAATCGTCTTCTTCCTCGTTACCTTCATCGTCATCATGGTCCTCCGCGGCGTGTTGCCTGTCAAGTCGCTACTCTTCAGCTTCTTTGCAAACATGTACCTCGCAGGAACTATCATCTTCGGCGGAGGCCCCGTCGTCATTCCCCTGCTTCGCGAATACGTCGTCGCCGAAGACTGGGTTAGCCCGCGAGACTTCCTCATCGGCCTCGCCATCCAGCAAAGCTTCCCCGGGCCTAACTTCAACTTTGCCGTATACCTCGGCGCCCTGACTGCGATCAACGGTGGTTACAACTCGGCTGCCGGGGCAGCGCTCGGATTCATTGGCATCTTTGCCCCGGGCCTTATTACCGTTCATGGCACTATGGGTATATGGAGTGCTATCCGCGGCCTGAGGTGGGTAAAGTCGCTCCTTAGAGGCGTTAACGCTGGTGCCGTCGGGCTCATTTATACTGCGGTCTACCGCCTGTGGCAAATCGGTTACATAGACGAAAGTTTCCAGCAGGGCACAAGTCTCGCGGAGGAGCCATGGTGGGTTGTCGTGACGGCATCGAGCTTTGTCTTCGGCTACTCCTTTGGCGTAAGCCCTCCGGTTGCCATCGTCATGGGTGCTGTGTTGGGACTTGTTTGGTATGCAGTTGTCAGGGCTTAATTCAATGCAAGATGAAGAATGATATTTTTACTCCAAAGGCACCAGTACAGCCCCTCCGTCCTTCCCACTGCCTATCCTAAAAGCTTTCCACCCCGCCTTCGGGAGATCAATAGCTCTGTCCTCGGCAAGGAATTTCATGAACACGCCATGAGTAACAACAACCACATTCCTCCTTCGCCCTTCGTCAACCTCTCCTCTATCCGTCTTAAGTGATGTAATAATATCCCGTAACTTGTCACGGAATCGTTGTGCTCGCTGAGCGACCGCAATATCATCCGCGGCGTACAACCCCTCCTTGACGAACCATTCATCCTCTAAGCCCCCAAAGTCGAGTCCCGGAAAGGCCTTATCCAGTGTAACGCGTCTAGACCCGGTATCACAAGAAAGGTCGCTGCGCTCCTGAAGGTCCGGGTCGATGATGAGCTGGGCGCCGGCTCCTGCATCTTTACTGAAGACTTGGGGGAAGGCGGTGGTGGTAGTTTGTAGCGTGCGCGTGAGTGGTGACGTGAGCACGACGGCGATTGAGGCTGTGTCAGGAAATGTCTCAATCAGAGCCGATGCCTGGGCTAAGCCGGTGGCAGTGAGAGGCGGATCTCGCTGTGTGAAATCTTTCGAGATGTTGTGCTCCGACTCGGCATGGCGGATGAGGTAAATGATTGAGGACATGGCTGTTCCTTCCGAATGATGGAAATTCGGTCTTGTTGATAGGTGTGTGAACGTTCTTCATGGCATCGATGCTATGAGCTGTTGATTGTGTTGTTATATAGGTAACAGGAACGCCATCAGTGCCTAATGTGATGCCATCGAACGCCAAAGCCCCGTCTTCCCCCTCTATGAATCTCCTAGTCAGGCTATAAATAAATCCAGGCGTGAGGCCAACGGTCAAGCGCTGTCGATTGGCTACGTGGTCGTGACTACGCCGGATGAAGCTTAAGCTCCGCAACGGTGCGAGAGAACGACCAAGGCAGGCAAGGATGGGGATGAATGTGGGTAGTGGTTTTGACCAAGCCGGGGAACTGCAGGTCACGTGGAAAACAGGAAAGAGCGGCAGATGCTGATTCGCCGCGAGGATCGGACTTGACTTGACTTGAATTCTGTGGAACAGAGGGCAGGCGAGGCGATATTGGGGGTCAAAATCAGTGTGTATTGTTGCATGCATAAGCTAGGTTTCTGCAGGCGGCGCCTGGTGCAGAGACATTTAGTAGGGAGCATTTCGGAACATAGCTTCCATGTACCTGTGGACACCTGTCCACTATAATTGGGTACAAATCTGTCCTGGAGTGGGTCCAACCGATGCCCATCTATGAACAAAACGGGGCAGTGTGCGACAAATTCCTACTCGGATGTGGCCGCTCTTTAGTCCGCAGCTCTGCCCAGTTAACGGGGTCTGCCGACAGCCGGAGCGCCGAGGATGAACCGTGACGCCCCACTTCGCCCTGTTGTTGGACCAGGGCCAGCTGTCCCAGACTTCTCGCCGCTCTGTCTAATCTACGTGTTGCCTTCTGTTGAAGAATGGTTGTTCCGGGCGTATGCCTCTATGCTAGGTCTGGTGGTCAATAAAAGGACGTGAGTCAATTGTCGTGAGGCGGGGGCAACCGATTGATTCATGACAACGTTGGTTCATGGTACGGAGACCCCTCGCGCGGTTCCATTGACCGTGTCGGAATGATGTCCTTTCTACGTCACCTCCTGCGTTAGCCTCCACACCTGCGCGCTTTGTACTCTCGCTACATTGAACGCATAAATCATAACGCTTCTGAATCCAATCGGGAAGCCTCCTATCCCAAGTTCCCCCGCAGGTAGGTTAAGATCATCAAGATCCAGGCAAGTACTCGAGCCCCTCTGGTGCCCGTTTTGCCAATCAGAGCCGAGGCTCCCCGGCAGCGCGAAAGAAGGAGTAGGATGAGTGAACACCCCGAGGCGTATTGTTTGCTGACTTCAGACTGCTGTTTGATGTTTGCGGTAATGCAGGCCTCGAGGTTGAGCTTCCCGTCTGGTAGGTTCCGGCACATGTTTTGTGGTTCTGCTTTTGCGCTAGCGCGTCGAGGAATGCATAGCCGCAGCCAGCTTCGCAGGTGTTTCCCCACCAGAATTGCGCATCAGGCTCGATAATAAAATAGACGAGCGACGGAACCCTGGTTCATCGTGGGTGGTGGGGAGGTGGGGAACCTTCCCCCTCTCCCATGCGGCTTGTAGATCGACGCCTTCCTTTCTCATGTGACTTTCCGTGTTCGCCTCCATGGTTCCCGTTTTTTGGGTCCTGAGCCTGCCCACCTCATCATGACGCTGGTTATGGCATTTGGTTTTGCGGCGAGGGAGCTTATATGAAGCCGCAGCACGCCCCATGAGATTCGCAGTCACGGCAACAAGTGGACTGTCTTTCCTATTGCCAAGAATATTCACACCAGAACATTACCCACGCCGTGTTCGAATCTTTATTCAGTCTTCATCATTGTCGTTAGAGTTAAAGCACCGACGACTTACCCTATTACAGGCTCCTTACTTATCCTAAGCTCCTAAACCCTGGCTGGGAACATACTGCACAATTTACCTTCCCAACCCCTGCCCACCAAGCAACAGCAACGTCACTGCCAACAGCCTGATACTCTGTCCAACTGTGGATCTATCTCGCTATTGGTCGCCAGGTTACATCTGCACTGTACCTTCGATCAAGATGGATATCAAAGAGTCCGGTGGGGACACCGTCTTACTCGCGCAGCCAGCTACGGCCTTGCCTATGTTGACACGCAAGGCAAAGGCCAAAAAGGCCACCAACCTGCCAGACGCAAAGCCAGGGGCATGCTCCGAGGAAAGAATCAGCAATATTTCACCTCGGAGTACCTCTTGCCCCGGCTCTTTCATCGACCTCAACCCGGATAATCTGCCTATGGCTCCTCATAATCCCTCACGCAAGGAGCGGAGTACACCATAGCAGCAACTTCCGCCGCAACCCCCCTCCCCCTAGCCGAATAGACGCAGCCGCCCTCGCAAGACATCCCTTACCCAACAAAAACAACCTTCGGTGTCAAAAGCAGTCGCCGCGAGGCTCGCGGATAAATGTCGTGCTTCGGCCTCTTCCATCGACTCTTCCCTCTCCGCGACCGACTACCAGCCGTCCAACTCGGACAAGAAAACACGCCTCCGGGCTCGCAATCGCGAGGCTGCCCACAAATTCCGCGTCCGCAAGCAACGCGGCATTGAAGATCTGCAGATACAAGAGGCCTCAATTGAGGACGCGAATCAGTGCCTCAAGGATCAGTACACCGAGCTGCGCGGCGAAATTCTCCTGCTCAAGGATATAATCCTTTAGCACGGTAGCTGCGGCTGCTCCTTCATCGAGAGTTACATTGAGGACGCCGCCGCCAATATCTCTCAAAATCCTAACGCCTTTACGACGAGTCGCCACATCTCTTCTAATAGTGCTATCTCGCCTACTGGTAGCTGGCTTCCTACTACACCGCGCGGCTCGTGTTTCTCTGGCTTTGCCCCTCTTGAAGAGGAGGCTGGGAACTCGGTTCGTTTTGGCTGGCATATGGTAGGAGGAACTTAGATTTTCCGGGAAGGGGCGAAATGGAGGGCATAACAACCACACACAACGAGAGTTGTCAGGAACTGGGTTTTGAGCCACTTGGCTAGGTTGACTGGATGGCACGCCCCTTGGAGTGTAGTTGGAGAGTGGCTGTCCCAAACCTCGGCGACAGAATACTGTTTATGTCTCGAATGCGAGTAAGGGTGGCAGTCTGAGAGGACAAGGTGTCTTCAGTTCGCCCAAGGCTGACTGGGCCGTCAGTCACGCCTTCTCAACTCTGAGGTCCATCCCGGAGGTTCTTGGATTTTCTATCGCGAATCGTGCCATCTTCTCGTCGATGCGCTATAAATAAATGTCGAGATTGTAGGTGGTATCTTGAACTGTCACTGTATCGTTCGAGGACGTCATGTTTAGTCTTGGAGTTCTGTCTATCAACCACGTATTAGCTCATCGTCACAATTGAAGCCGTGAATTTCCCCAGATTGGAGGCCGAGACGCTCAAAGGGTTGGAGATCGGTGAAGCTCGGGTGCGCCATTCGGAGTTTGGAGAAGTTTGCGCTCTGCCAGACCTGACCACTGTGGCTGGGCCTGGTTCCTACGACAGCGTACGGTCAGACGGACCGTCGACTTCGTCGCAGAAGGCGATAAGGTGATGTCTGGACTTGTTCCCGGCAAGAAGTCGTCGATGCCCAGAATAGATCCAGACACGCACGTGACAGAGGACAACCCCACCCGAATTATTGCCGACCTAAGTGCCCTTCCATCCCTGCTTCGCGTGGAAGCTCTCACACCTAGTAATCCGACGACCCGAACCGAGTGGAGCATTATACTGCGTGGAACTGAGCCTGGACCAATGCTGTGGATGGCGACGCTGGTCAACAAGCAAGAAAGACACAGCCACATAGGAACCCAGCAGGAGGCAGCAAGAATACACAGACGCGGATTATGGAACATGCGAGTCCGGGGGGATACGGACAGACAAACAAACGAAGCCGAAGCTGGGGGGAGACTGTAGGTATGCAGAACCACGCATGGTGCTTTGCACAAAGCACCGACCGAGCCTGACACAAAGCCACGAAAGAGGAGTCTAGGAGGAGAACACAAGGAGAGTTCATGTACATACAGAAAGCAAAATCTTCATCAACAGAAGGCACATAGATTAGACAGAGCGGCGGGTAGTCTCGGACAGCTGGTCCTCTTCCAACAACAGGGCGAAGTGGGGTGTTGCGGTTCATCCTCGGCGCTTCGGCTGTCTGCAGGCCGCGTTAACCAGGCACAGCTGCGGACTAAGAGCGTCCACATCCGAGTAGGAATTCAAGTCAAGTCAAGTCAAGCCCATCCGTTCAGGCAATCAACATCACGAAGAGCATACAGCCACCTGTTTCGACTTTAGACTGTTTACGGCCACTCCTCTCAAACACCAAAGCGCATTTTGGTGTTCCCAAACAGCATCATGAACCAAGACCCGAATACCCCAAAGCAGCCGGGGTCGCCACGACTCTCTGGCAGCCCGCTCGCATTACCCGATGGCCCAGTTCCTGGCGATACATCCACCGTTCCGGGAAGGCGACACTGTGAGTATAGGTCCCACGAGGATCCTTGCTTGCTGAGGATCAAGAGCGGCCCCCCGAAGATGAGCCCGTTGCCGATCCAATAGCCTCAGGCACTTCGTCGCCATGTACCACGCCTTCTGGCCATGGATGCATCGTCTCCTTTTGTCCTCTTCTCTCGAACTACATCAGCACCAACCGTCGGCATGCCTACATTCATGTTGTTCCGGGCGTAATAACCATCACCGTCCCCACAACGGCCGCGACCTTTGCTGGCCACCCAAGGTTTTCTCTCTGCTAGAAGACGCGTTTTTGCTGCCCTCATTCTTCAATGACGCCGAGAACGCTGAGCCGCCATTTAGATGTGCGCCGGCGGGTCGCCCTCGACCCTGATCTCCGGCTCGGACCATCACCGTTGTGCCGCGTAAGCAAATTGGCAGACCCTCTGTTCGTCTTGTCTGACTGTGACAAAGCGATGTCTTTGTTCATGTCGTCGATGATACGCACTCGGATGCGGTGCAGCGGCCTGGAGAGAAGAATCCAGAGGAATGCCAGATACCCGCCATGGTCCAGTGTCGTCACGTTCGGCGGTGTGTACTGGATGCTGACTCGGAAGGCATTTACCGAAGGGGGAATGGAAACGAGGTTTGATGAGCGGTGCACTATGCCCTTGCTGTTCGTCGTTGCATAGTCCAGGAACACCACAATGGCTCGCGCTGGGTGTTCCGCAAGCAAGGTCTCCAGGTTAAGGGCAGCGTCGTCAGGCGGATAATTCTCAATTGGCTGAAACGCATGTAGGATGGCCTGGAGCAAACCCAACCGGCACACCTTCCGCGTCCCGGGACAAGACATAGTAAAGATAGGATCGAAGGCTGCAGCAAGGTACACAGCGTTGATGGGAGAAGTGGCCGATGCCAGAATGACAGACCCTCCGTGAGGCAGGCGCAAGGATGGCTGTTGGGCTAGAGAGCCGCGTCTAACACCATTGATTTGTAGGTCTGTCCACCAGATGCCGAATATACCCATCAGGGTGAGCAAAGCAAGTTTCTTGCCAACGGAACCATCGGGGAGCCATTGTAGGAGTGTCCCGTAGGCGGAGATGGCAATGAAGAAGAGGGGCAAACGGGAGACGACTAGAAGTGTTTTGAAGAAGAGCGAGACGACGGAGGGAAAGATGTGGACTGGGAGTAGCGACAGGGCTGAGAACATGGTCTGCTCAATAATGTTCTTGGAAACCAAAACTGGCATGACGTCCATGTTGGGATGGTTATTTTCCTGATATTGCAGGACCAGGCCCTGCTGTGAGTATGGATGAAGGCTCGAGGTCCTTTACTGTCTCGAAGGTTGCCTGGGGAAGGCAGGCTTGGTTCAGCAAAGACGTCGTCGTGATGCGTGTCTTGATGCACGTGCAAGGTACCACTACCAGAGGCAATGTCATTATGAACACGTGTCACTTCCATCAACGATTTGGCCGGCCAGGAAGGCGGCCGGCCCATGAATCTTCTCGTTTGCATGTGGCTTCACTCGACCCTGACGTTGGGGAAGACTGCGTTTTATACGACGTTGATTCGGCGCAGGTGGGGAGCAGAGATAGGGAGAAAACGCCAAAGTGACAGTGCAGCCTGTTGAGTGTCTTGCGGCCTGTGGAGCTGCGGGCTTCATGTGACATCAAATCGACGCAGCTCTGAGCATGCGCCACATCCGGATCAACCAGTGAGTGAGGCAATCAGGGTGGGCTGAGTGCACGGGCATAATACAGTCCCTGAGTTGGTCATGACAGTAGGTTCGCGACTGGCTGATTTTTGAAAGTTAAGTCACCACCCCCAATCTCTGCGCCCCCAATCTCTGCGCCCCCAATCTCTGCGCCCCCAATCTCTGCGCACCGCCCCCCGTACTGAACTCGCCATACTCGGGGACAACAGTAAATCAGGGAAAATAGCTAAATTTATGAAAGCAATGGAAATCAATGGACATATTACACATCTAATGCCTGTCCAAATTTAGAGTCTGGGAGGCTTCTGGAGGCTAGGAATTAAGCTTAAAGGTTGCTGTTAGTACACGCTACTCTTTTATGCCAGATCCTTAACAGAATCGTATCCCTACTTAATGACGATAGGGACTCTTGAAAACTCTAGGAAAATTCATAGACGCTAGCTATATATAGCTATAGTCATGTTTAGACTTTTAAGGATTTACATCGGAAGTTGAGAAAGTTATATACATGCCAGTCTTTTTG